AGTAGTAGGAGAAGGAGGAAGGAAAAATCATACGTGGAATCCTGTCTCTCAACACCGTTGTCAGCTGGCCCATCGGGTGCCGGCCAACCGAAAGCAGATCCACCGAGCCCACTATCCCGCATCCAGACCCAATACCACCAAAGATAGAACGATGCAGTGTCTGCTGCGACCGATGGGACATGGGAGGATCTCTACAAAGGTAACTGCAGTCTACCTCTGGACGCAAAGCAGTATTGGAAATAGGTGCTCTCTGCTCCAAACACGCAGATAGCCGGCCAGGTCACGCAGTTTGATCGAGCTTATTACAGGGGAGGAAGTCGGTCGTACGATCCGTTCAATGGGCAATCCGTCCCCAGGCCTGGTCAAGCTCACGCCCAGGATGCTCCGCCGTTCAATGCTAACGTGCTCGCTGGGTGTTTTAACTCACTCTTCTTACCTGGGGTTTGTCCCCCACGTCTGTGTCGTGCTCGTATCATCCGAGATCCGAAGGTTCTAAGTTGGCTTCACCGGATCAACTGAGACCGATCTCCGTGTCATCCATTTTTGTTCGTTGATTTCATAAGGTGCTTGCTGATCGAGGGAATCGTAGATTGCAACTACCATCACTTCAGTTTGCATTTCTACATCGAGACGGCTGTTGGGAAGCCACATCGCTGTTGCATGCCCTGCCTCGTCACTCTTCAGCGACTGCTTCTAACCTCAGCTTGGCGTTTGTTGATATTTCGAAAGCGTTTGATTCGGTTTCGCATGACACAATCGCAATCGACACAATCGACACAATGATGGCGTTTGGAGCACCGTCATTTCTAGTTCGCTACATCGCACATTCCAATGAGAATGCTGTAGCAGTTTTCCACAGTTCCGAGGTTCGCTGCCACAGAGGTGTGAGGCAAGGAGATTCACTCTCCCCATCATTGTTCATCATGGTAACGGATGAGGTTCTTGGACTGTCTATGCCGCAAATGGGATATTAGTTCCATGACACCCTAGTAGATGGTTTTGCCTCCGCTGACGACTGGCTCATGTGTGTAGAAAGTCAGGCTTGCCTTAAAGAGAAACTTTAAGGCGCTGCGGTCGAGTTGGGTTGAGCTGGTATGAAGATAAATGACCGAAAGACGAAAGTGATGATGATTTGTGGGGACGGGAAACAAGGGGTGACAGCAGTCGCATTCGAGCCATTTTGCTTCGTCGAGGATCTCACCAATCCTCTAGGTCCGACAGACACCGTAACACATTTGGGTATCCCCTTTACTCTCAGGGGGAAAGGGGTCTTCACCTACCGCCAGCTCGATGAGGTGACGCGTGCCCCGTTGAAGCCGCATCAAAGAATGGAGATCATGAGGGACTACCTGATACCGAGGCTGACATAATCGCTCGTGTTTTGCCTGCCGAAACATTCTGAAAAGGTTGAACAACTATATTAGGCAATCTATATTCGTGGCTGGCTACATCTACCTAAGGACACCCGGATCAGCTACATACACGCCGATGAACAACAAGGGGGACTTGGTATTCCAAGTCTGAGTGCATCAATCCCGATGCAGCGGAGAACGCGTAGGGGAAAGCTCCTTTCTACTCAGTGCCCAGTACTACGCAATGGGGTCAACGATTCCGCACTTGGAAAAGTTACTCGGGATCTCATCCTCCCGATCCGAGTCCACGGTGCATGCGTAATCACCAAGGAAGAGCTGGTGGCTGCTTGGGGTGATAGTCTGCACAACAGCGTTGATGGTCGCGGTTAACGAGAGTTATTCGCTTCGCATCTTTCTAATCGATGGCTTGTATTTTCAGAACGAGTGTTTCCTCGGATATCTATCCGCGGTATCCAGCTCCGATGCAACGTGCTCAGGCGGAGAGTTAGAAGCGAACGGCTTGGTCACGATGGCCAGACGACCTCATATCGTGAAAACTGTGGTCAGCCGGAGAGTTTGGTGCATATTTTGAAGTCCTGCTGGATCACGTATAACGTCAGATGTGTTTGTCATAATTGCGTTGCAAGAGAACTCGCACGTCTCCGTCGACTGGGATACACCGTCTTCGAGAAGTTGAGAGCGCCTACTTCGATGTTTTTCATAAAACCTGACCTAATCGCTATTCCAGAGCGCTGAGCAACTGTAAGAGACGTGAGCATGGTCTCGGATAGGCGCTGGTGTGGAATGAGAAGAAGCAGAAGTATAGTGCTGATGAATATCCCCTTGCCATAATCTCAGCATTACGTGCAACCGGTTGTGATGTCGACTGTTTGGTCCACCAACCGATGATCATTTCTCATCTATGGATCTGCTTTCTCCAATCCGCCAAGGCTGTTATTGGTCTGGATCCTCCTAAGACCACAGTCAGTGACTTGTTTGGGCTCTCTGCGTACCTAAAACATTTATGTGTGGTAAGTAGCGTTGAGTATACAATCTTGTTATCAGACACTTTGTGCCTGATGTGCGAATTTCGACTGTTAGCGCTTACTGTACTCTGAAGAGCATTCAGCATTGTTTGTCCTTTGTTCGGTTGTTGACCTTTACACGCGTGTTTCCATACAAAAAATCTTACATACATTGGGATTCATCTTATCTGACTAGAACTGCTGCTGGCATTACTCGGGATGAGACGTTTCTCTCTTTTATCTCATAGTCTCCTGTTACCATTTCGCATTCATCGTTTACATTAAGTTTCTGTGTCTGTGACCATGCTCTTCAATAAACAATAAACAATAATAGTACTAGAGCCACAGAAACTTTCACTTGTTGCTCCCTGATGGAACTTTCACAGATCAGGTGCGTCTCAGTTCACGAACTCTTGAATTGTGCTGGCACGCGTAGCGTGGATGTCAAACAAGTTTTATTTCTTCAGAAGTTTGCTGCCAGAAAACATTGCCCTACCATGTGTCATCACTAGCTAACAACTCCAGTTTTAGACCGCTTGTCTACGTAAACGTCACCCGGTTATTCTGATGAGGCATGCGTGGAGGAACACCAAGATGTCATTAACTCCTACTAGAATCAATTGGTTTTAAATATCGAGGCAGACGAAGGCGGGATGAAATTCAAGCCTCCAATACAGGATTGTGATAACTTACCAATATGCCAAAGTGATTTACTATAAAATCTATTTTATCGTACAAGTTTTTCTGCAGGATATGATAAATCTGAGGATGAGGAATCAGTGGATGACAAGTAATTGAAGAGTGGTTTTAGAATGCGGGGGAAATAGCACTTTGACTGCTCTATCAGATGAGATTCTGCAAACCAAATGAACGCCAAGTTCTCGATTGGCCTCTTATGTCAACTACGCACTCCGTAAGGGTCATATTCCAAAAAAAANAGGCGTTTGGTTCGGTTTCGCATGACACAATCGCAATCGACACGATCGACACAATGATGGGGTTTGGAGCACCGTCATTTCTAGTTCGCTACATCGCACATTCCAATGAGAATGCTGTAGCAGTTTTCCACAGTTCCGAGGTTCGCTGCAAGGAGGTTCACTCTCCCCATTATTGTTAATCATGGTAACGGATGAGGTTCTTGGACTGTCGATGCCGCAAATGGGATATTAGTTCCATGACACCCTAGTAGATGGTTTTGCCTTCGCTGACGACTGGCTCATGTGTGCAGAAAGTCAGGCTTGCTTTAAAGAGAAACTTGAAGGCGCTGCGGTCGAGTTGGGTTGATCTGGTATGAAGATAAATGAGCGAAAGACGAAAGTGATGATGATTTGTGGGGACGGGAAACAACGGGCGACAGCAGTCGCACTCGAGCCATTTTGCTTCATCGAGGATCTCACTGATCCTCTAGGTCCGACAGACACCGTAACGTATTTGGGTATCCCCTTTACTCTCAAGGGGAAAGGGGTCTTCACCTACCGCTAGCTCGATGAGGTGACGCGTGCCCCGTTGAAGCCGCATCAAAGAATGGAGATCATGAGGGACTACCTGATACCGAGGCTGACATAATCGCTCGTGTTTTGCCTGCCGAAACATTCTGAAAAGGTTGAACAACTATATCAGGCAATCTATATTCGTGGCTGCCTACATCTACCTAAGGACACCCGGATCAGCTACATACACGCCGATGAACAACAAGGGGGACTTGGTATTCCAAGTCTGAGTGCATCAATCCCGATGCAGCGGAGAACGCGTAGGGGAAAGCTCCTTTCTACTCAGTGCCCAGTACTACGCAATGTGGTCAACGATTCCGCACTTGGAAAAGTTACTCGGGATCTCATCCTCCCGATCCGAGTCCACGGTGCATGCGTAATCACCAAGGAAGAGCTGGTGGCTGCTTGGGGTGATAGTCTGCACAACAGCGTTGATGGTCGCGGTTAACGAGAGTTATTCGCTTCGCATCTTTCTAATCGATGGCTTGTATTTTCAGAACGAGTGTTTCCTCGGATATCTATCCGCGGTATCCAGCTCCGATGCAACGTGCTCAGGCGGAGAGTTAGAAGCGAACGGCTTGGTCACGATGGCCAGACGACCTCATATCGTGAAAACTGTGGTCAGCCGGAGAGTTTGGTGCATATTTTGAAGTCCTGCTGGATCACGTATAACGTCAGATGTGTTTGTCATAATTGCGTTGCAAGAGAACTCGCACGTCTCCGTCGACTGGGATACACCGTCTTCGAGAAGTTGAGAGCGCCTACTTCGATGTTTTTCATAAAACCTGACCTAATCGCTATTCCAGAGCGCTGAGCAACTGTAAGAGACGTGAGCATGGTCTCGGATAGGCGCTGGTGTGGAATGAGAAGAAGCAGAAGTATAGTGCTGATGAATATCCCCTTGCCATAATCTCAGCATTACGTGCAACCGGTTGTGATGTCGACTGTTTGGTCCACCAACCGATGATCATTTCTCATCTATGGATCTGCTTTCTCCAATCCGCCAAGGCTGTTATTGGTCTGGATCCTCCTAAGACCACAGTCAGTGACTTGTTTGGGCTCTCTGCGTACCTAAAACATTTATGTGTGGTAAGTAGCGTTGAGTATACAATCTTGTTATCAGACACTTTGTGCCTGATGTGCGAATTTCGACTGTTAGCGCTTACTGTACTCTGAAGAGCATTCAGCATTGTTTGTCCTTTGTTCGGTTGTTGACCTTTACACGCGTGTTTCCATACAAAAAATCTTACATACATTGGGATTCATCTTATCTGACTAGAACTGCTGCTGGCATTACTCGGGATGAGACGTTTCTCTCTTTTATCTCATAGTCTCCTGTTACCATTTCGCATTCATCGTTTACATTAAGTTTCTGTGTCTGTGACCATGCTCTTCAATAAACAATAAACAATAATAGTACTAGAGCCACAGAAACTTTCACTTGTTGCTCCCTGATGGAACTTTCACAGATCAGGTGCGTCTCAGTTCACGAACTCTTGAATTGTGCTGGCACGCGTAGCGTGGATGTCAAACAAGTTTTATTTCTTCAGAAGTTTGCTGCCAGAAAACATTGCCCTACCATGTGTCATCACTAGCTAACAACTCCAGTTTTAGACCGCTTGTCTACGTAAACGTCACCCGGTTATTCTGATGAGGCATGCGTGGAGGAACACCAAGATGTCATTAACTCCTACTAGAATCAATTGGTTTTAAATATCGAGGCAGACGAAGGCGGGATGAAATTCAAGCCTCCAATACAGGATTGTGATAACTTACCAATATGCCAAAGTGATTTACTATAAAATCTATTTTATCGTACAAGTTTTTCTGCAGGATATGATAAATCTGAGGATGAGGAATCAGTGGATGACAAGTAATTGAAGAGTGGTTTTAGAATGCGGGGGAAATAGCACTTTGACTGCTCTATCAGATGAGATTCTGCAAACCAAATGAACGCCAAGTTCTCGATTGGCCTCTTATGTCAACTACGCACTCCGTAAGGGTCATATTCCAAAAAAAAATTAGTTAAAGAAGACAGAATAATATATAATGTGCTGTATGTTATGTCTAATGTACTATATCGCGATATATGTAATTTGTACACATGGTATATTTGCTTATTTATCAAACGGAGACAAGGATTTGAGCGGTCCGATGAATAATGACCTCTCCCAAGAAGAGATTACTTCGGTTGGGTTTCATCTTTGGGGAAGACCATTGTAATAATTTTGGCGGTGGTCTCCAGTTAGTTGGGTTCAGCAAAATTTCCAAGCTTGGTGCCGACTGTATCATCACACTGCACGTCATTTCCTGGTAAAAGCAGTTGATGGAGAACTTGTTTAAGCTAACGATTCAAATAGAGCTCTGTGATTTAAGTTGACACAACCAGCCTAGTACTAACTTGAAAGAAATAAACATGTTTCTGCGGTAGAGAAGGAAAGGAGTTAGTTTAAATCCCAACATACCCTGTCGCATCCATCAAACTACTTTACTGAACTGCAATAACTGGTGAACAGTTATTACAGTTCCATCAAAGGAGGGCTAGTTTGTGAGAAAAAAACGTTTTGTGTATCGACAAGAATGTGAACAGCCCTAACGAAAACACCTTCCTGATACGAAAATATCCATAAAATTGGTAAAAAAAATTGGCAGTCTATTATTCATCTTGGGTACGCCTAGTTCAGGGTTTACACCAAACTTATTTTCTACTTGGGCGTGTGTTCTCATAGAGGATTTACAATTTAAACTGATGTTGATGAAAGACTCAGCTGAAGTTCACTCGAATATCTCTTTAAACCTCCCCTTAAAAAAGGCAAAATCGGTAGTTTGTTGTCCTGAATGTGACATTGTGAATAGCAACTAAAGCGATTGGGATATCTTGGATATCGTTCCAGGTGAAGCATCAGACGGCTGTAGAATATCATATCAGCACCAACTTAGTTTTCAGAAGAGTTTCCATTGAGACTGATAAATGTTTCTTGAATATAGGTCGTCTGTAATCAGGAGTCAAAGTGTATCTTTCATGTGGGAATCAACAGTCGGTCAGCTGATGAACATAGTGGTATATCGTTCCCAGAAATTGTCTGAATCAAGAATTAATTTTAGCCTGTCTGTCCTAACTACCCCACACGTCTATCGATCCAAACCGATATCAGAAATCAGAGGAGGATGTTGATTAGCAGACCGTTTGCCGATTCTAATTTGACATTCGCTGTTTTATCCTTTTGAATTTCGCCGGAAAAAGTGATAGGATTTCCTCGACTTGCTGAGTCTCAAATTGTCGACACCGTCTAAGAGTTTTACCATATAGGAGTCTGGTGTATAGTGTGCTGTCATCGTTCCACACACTTCTAAGTTGGAGCATATGTCTGCGTCCCGTTCGATGTGTGGTGAGTGGTGTGGTACTGGTGGTCTGCTATTGATCACTTTAAAGAACTAGACTATTGGCGTCAGAGCAGTAGATTTTTTTCTCATCAGCTACTCAACATGACAAAGATTTTTAATTGAGAATTTAGACAAGTGAATGGATCCAAGTAAAAAAAACTCATGTTCCGAAGCTCCCAAGTTCTCGAGTTTAAGGTTGTGTGAACTTTTATGAAGTTGGACACCTTGGTTTTGGTATTTAGAGACTCCCACACACGGGATTCAATGTGGTTACTTCTTTTCTTATGTTTTGCACAATTCTTATCCAAACCCCCGTGGTGAGCTAGTAGTATCGAGCCACAGGGTGGTCAATCAATACCAGATCGCACAAAATCTTGCGCACTCTGTTAGGGTTATCCAAGGTCAGCGTTGCGTCAAATTCACCGCTCTGTATGTAAATAGTACCCGTAGGTCGAGTATGAAGACACTTTATGCATCCATCATTGGTTGTTCACAAATCACATGGCACAGCATGAATTAGTTGAGACCCAATGCAGCAGCACACACGGGCAGCGCTCGTTCATAGTATTGAATAGATGTACGTACACCCGACTATCAAAAATAGGGTCCAGAGTCGTGTACGAGTAGAATGTGGGCAGAATTAATGCCGTAAGACTCGAAAAAACTAGCAGGAATTCGACCATCAGCGTCAAGAACAACAGTGAATTAAAAAAACACATTTTGAAGTGGTTGTGCTGTGGATGAGTTTTCAGCTTCATACTTAGAAGTCTCGAGTTCGAGAAAGCTACCAAGCAAGAAGAATTGGTTGATGATAACAGGTAGTAGAGTGATCCGGTTCCGGTTTTTCACATCAAGAAACAGACAGTTGCAGATATTTCCACATTTGCTGTCAACCATGGTACCGAAAATTCTGTGCACTTGTTCCAACTTCGGGGGAGTTGTTCAGTTTAGGAGACAACTTTTAAGGACATCCTGTCAAACAGAATACATTGCTAGGCACAGTGCCATTCAAAAGCATAAAAAAGGTGGGTTGAAGGTGTGTGAAGCCGCTGGGGTCTGTAACGGAGTCAAAAGACCTACCTACTACAAAATACTAACCCGATCCTTTAGAACTGATATGAGCAAGCACTTACCGCTCTTTATCGGACGGCTCACTGATCCTTCTCAAATTTATCACATGTTCAACCAAAAAAAACAGAGAAGAGAATTCCTTGGGCAGGTAACGAAGTGCAAATCACCTTGGTGCTTACAAGAGGGACGAGTGAAGCTCTCGTTTACGAACTGACTGTGTTGTATGAACAGCGCCTCATGTATCGCAGTTGATTGTCCTGATGGAACTAGAATTTCATCTCAAATGAAACATGGGACAACCTTTGTACAGCGCATTCAGCTGAAGAATATCAGGGATGAGAGATTCTACTGAGTCTCCGGTTAGTACCGGGTTAATTTTCAAATGAATGTATACTAAAGTGGTACACGAAAGCCGGGATGTAAAGAGCCTCCAGGTTGATGAACAGCGGCCCAAATGCCCGCGTGAATGGCAGAATAGTGGTCAGTAGGTGTCTAATCGACCACCTGATTTTTGGAGTCCACGTTTTTTAAATTTTCTTCCTGTTGTTGCATATTACTTCTTTCTAAAACAGTTACTAACTGAGTCCAGAATGGATTTCTTGGCTAACTATCAGAAGTTTGTTTCGGACTGCATCTGATTTTTGTCGAGATGGGAATATCCCTGGGTGATCTAACACAAGTTTCAAATGGACCAGGTGTCCGAAAAGTCCACGAATATGTGCGGAACCATTGAATCACCGACTTGACAGAACTTATCGCCCTAGGCATTCCCCATCAACAACCCGAGCATAACTCTCCCTGGCTTATGAGCTGCTGTTTCTCATGAATATTTTGACTGCCTCCTTCCATTGCAGATATATGCCGCTTGATGTAAAATTTGGATAAACTGGTCTCTGAAAGTGTTGTTCAGCAACGTCTGTAATGAGACTGAAGAAAAGAGATTCTCGTCATCTGAAGTGGAAAAGAGGATTTCCGGACAGTTTGTGAGAAACAAAAATGGGTTTTTGGCCGAGCAAATTATCCTTTCTCTATCCTAATCAACCGGATTAGAAACTGAAAGGCATATTCCCAGTGGGAATTGAGTTGAAAAAGTTTTCTAATTCAGACTCGAATGAAAGAAAGTGCTTTTCGCCTAGCTTTCAGCCGACCGACCCTGCACCTATAAAATTTGCTAGGCAAACTTGTTTATGCGAACGGCAAAAACAAAATACAAAGTCAGATTCGCCTGAAAATAATAAGAGAGATATTAGATGATCAAAAATAATTGGAACTGTTTTGAAAATTGACAAGATATACTGAATAGATTCAGTTGCATACCAGTTCTGTTTTATCACGTAACTCAACTGAACCAGCTGAATCTCCCTATTATGACACTCTCCGGCGGAGTGTGCTGGTACGGCATTGAGGATAGTGCAGTATATTTTCTTGGAGCAACACCACCCAAAAGTTTTCTGAAAACTATTCGACATTCGAGTTAGCCTAAAGAAGGATGAATTTGTGCTGAATTGTGAAAATATGGGATATCATACCGGCTGTTTGATGAGTGGCTTGTACACATCAGCTTACCAACAAACAGATAACAGAACTCCCCATGGTGCCCTCGACATTGCCATTGAAGTCTATCAACCACTTGTCTCTGCAAAACATCGCGAACCCTGAGTCAGTTTGGACAAGGCAGTAAGAAACACAATGTTTTTGGCCCAGTTCATCTCACATACAATCCCTTGTCGCAATACGTGCGTTGGCGCACCACAAGTGTCAATCAGTCCTCAGAATTTTAATCCATTTTCTTCATTGAAACCATGGATTAGTTCCACTAGATTCGAAACAAAAAGTGCGCAAAGAATGCTCATGGAAAAACCGCACCCATGAGCATCTCCAACAAGTGGCATGCAGTATCACCTAATTGATTCTTCATTCAACGCATCTGGTTGCGTTGTGAATCCACAAGCGAAAAACAACTGGCATGGGATAGTGGCCAGGGTGATTAATAATTCATCACACACTGTGGTACCAAGCTTTATATGCAATGCAAAACAGGTTAGTAAATTCGTCACCTAATGTCCTGAGTACACAATTAATTAACTGACAAATTTTAACAGGTCAGCATCTTCAAACTATGTCTGCTGTAACTGTTCTAGGACGTCTCGTTTTCGGGGTGCGCATCAAACCGTGGGCATGCGTAAGAGTACGACACCATGTTTCCTAGCCTTTGTGTTGGTTCGCTTACCTTCAGGCCAATGGTGGTCGAGCTCTTTGTCGCATGTTTACATGCAAACAAGCACCAGTTGAGTTCCGTCCAGCAACTGAGGAGTAGCTGCTTGTAGCTGGGCAAAACATCAGAGAAAAACACGATGGTGAATTCAGAACTATATAGCTTTAGCATAGCTGTCCAACTCAGTTTGTGTCATGGCACATTTCGACCGCCAATCAGCCAAGCTGACATCGGATTTGCAAGACTTACACCCCTGAGGGGATGTAATACTGCCTATGAGATAGGGTAGCTTTGTCGCGCTCTTAATTTTGACATGTGTGTACGTATAACGCAGTTGAACTTTTAACCAAACGTGCACGTCTCTTTTGAACACTTTCTGCCAAGCAGACTGATACTCAACAGTTTTACCGATGAAATGGCCGTCGTAGTTACACCTCACAAAGTGTGGAAGACGGTTTCTGTTGTCATTTTGTATAATTTGTCACTTTCCGAAAATCTCCTTGAGTGATGTAATGACCATTTTTATCTCGAAAAGCAATAAATTGATTAATGCATTTTTGGGCGAAATTGGTACATGCAGTCAGGTGTGTTTGATCAAGCCAGTCGCTTGGCACGAAGGTTTTTGAAAACTCGCAGATAAGTGCCTTCATATACGCATGCAAATTTCGCACAAAGGCCAGCAGATGTGGGCATCACTGTCAGCCAGATCTGGGGAGCAGATCATGTACGCTGCAAATTTCGCACAAAGTCCAGCAGATGTGGGCATCACTGTCAGCCAGATCTGGGGAGCAGATGTTTCCGGAACGAGCTTGCTGCCAGTTTGCCAACTAAGATAGTTGGATACCTCCATCCCCGTTCACATTAGATGGCCTCCCTTTGAAACCCGATCATCACAATCTGTGCTTTCGCTCTGTATTGGCCAAATGAGTCAGAGGGACTCCATTTCAGTAACACTATTTTATTTAACCCCATCACGTATATCCATTCATAGATATTTGGGAAAAAACAATGGATTCTTTCGAGCGAGTTTCACATGGTAAATCATCATCTAGCTCTGTATCTCAGCTGAATAACTTGTTTCAATGCGATGAGTTTGTGATTTCGCTCTGAAGTGGGTTACACGCAACTGATGAGGGGAATAACTGACTTATGGACTTTCAAAATAACTATACTGTAAATCTGCACCAAGCTGTTAGTTATTGTCACTAGCACTTTCCATTCATTTGGTGACGTTTCAAATTTTTGAAGAAATGAATTTCACCTACCGCTTGAGTAAATTCGTCTGAATAAATTATTTGGAGATGCCAGGAGCTGATATTTGTGCCTCGTTAGCAGTTTTATTCGCATGACGTCTATAAAATACATCGGGCAAATCTGATCACATGGTGATCAGCATCATAGATGAACGAAAGATTATTCCAGACTAGTTGCTACAAAGCGGTTTACTGTTCAGAAGGAACGCATTCATATATATTGTAGCAATTCAAATCACAACTCGTTAATTAACTCATCTGGGCGTCTGGGATTCATCCGAAGAAAAAAGTGATGTTCACAAAGGATACTACTCACTAAGTTGCTGAAAACTCTTCGATATCCCACGATCCGTCTCGGCTCTCTTGTGGCTCATCAAGTAGGCACACTCAACGAGATTCCGTCAACCCCATGTTCACAATCAGGAAATAGGAACCTGTAGACTAAGTCCGAGTGAGAATTTCGGACTAACCAGCAGGCTTGCAAAGCTGGCTGAAGCGAGCTGCAGGATATCAAAAAAGTGCAGTATTTAAACTAGTCGTTGATATCTAGGAGACATTTCCGTAAAAGCATTTTTGGTACCGGACCTGCTCATCCTCAATGCAACATCGTTGAAGCCTCCTTGCGGTGTAACGAATGGATTAAGCAGGACGCTAATAACGCCCTACGTTAGGCCAAATCTATAAATGACGTTACCCTTTTCACGTTTGCATACACTGTAATTGTTATCCTGTGTATTTTCGTGTACTCAGTCTGCCAAGAGCCAGGTAGCAGTGGGCAAAGCTCAGCAAAGTTCATGCAATTACTTACACTCATGCATTTGCTTATGGTGAATCAACCTTTCTGACCATGTGAACCAAACAGTAGAATTCTGGTGGCTCCGCACACACACCTGCAACTGGTGTTGCTCTTCCGGTTTGGCAAGCATTGGAGCATTGGAGTGCGGTTTTCGCTGAACCGACTTGTCGGTGGCAATGGCGGGCAAAATAATTCATAACGTACGCCTCTCCAATACAAGATGGGTCTTTCATATTATACGGGGGGTGGGGCTAATTCTATGTAATCATCATTACATAACAAGCGAAAACCTCTAAGGAAAACTTGCTGTCATTGTGGGTGGGAATAGCAATTGAATGTGAGTTATCGCACCAGTGAGATAACGTATACATTGACATCAACAAAAGCAATTATTAACACAAGAGTCTACTCCTGCATTTAATTCTGGGGGCCTACTTTCGCGTTCATCGCGCAATCGGACACGGTCTAACCACTGAATTGAACATCTACACAACTGCGGGATAATTGTGCTTCATTTTAACCCCGCCCTAGTTTATCTCACAGTGGCAGAATATTGTGCGCTCAACTGACCCCAAATAACCCAGCTGCAAGAGCTATCCAAGTTTGTTCATAGCCACACCACTCTTGTTTGAACGGCTGTGTTCCTGAACTGGCGTAATTATTCCGGCGAGTCCACACCAGAGGGAGGCACTGGACTCGAGTTTCGCTCTTATTAGAGCGAATCAGCAGTGTATATCCAATGGCCGTGCCGGGATTTGAACCCCGGACACCTGACATGCGAGGTGAGCGTGTAACCACTAATCCACAAACGCACGTTGGATGCATCTGAATTTTCACGTCTGAGCATGCGAACCTTTTCACACTTGATCGATGTGATTGGTGTGCCCGAACTCATTGTCAAACTACCCAAATTATTGCCCTTCAACAACTTCCTGCTCCCCACCGGCTTTACGTATTCCCGGAATTAAGCAACTACACTTGCACTGGCTCCATGCCTACCAACTGACTGACACCCAGCAATTGATTGGTTTTCTGTCCATCAGTCTACACTTCTCTGAAGTGGGAACTTGGTCGGAATCTGTGAATGGAATGCGAAATTCTAAAGTAATGCCATTGAACCCAGGAAACAGCGCAATTTGAGCTAATGGATTCAGATTCTACTCTATGCGGGAATCCAGTCGCTAATGAACTGTATGTATTAGAACCCAGTGTTCCTCCGGATTGAGTGACCGTATCGGTCACCATTATGTATCTTCTAGAATGTTATATCCCGCAAAGGTGTTGAGTCTTCTAGACCGTTACCACAATATCAGACATGGTCCTCGGACAAACCTTCTAGTGAATAAAACAGAATTCTTTACAGTTATAACTTTCTTGTGACTGTGAGATTAAAAAACGGCCCTGCTCTTATTTTTCAGTAAGATGGATAGACAGCTAAAATTCTTGGGAGGAATCTCTCATGTCAAAACCGTTCACCACTGTCCTGTCTTTCATTTCGACTGTTGTGCGACCTTCTGCTTAAAGTGCATCAGGCATTTCTCCGCCAAGTTGAGAGATGCTAGCATCATATCCATTCCGTGTCTGCTTTTGTATTCTTAATTTGAGGCTTTTTGAGTGCTCCTTCTGTGGTTGCACGGCGACAATACGTCCGTTCCTGTATGGGTGTTTGTGTTGATGTTATTGATAGCCGATAGCGAAGCAATAGTCGACTAACCATAGAACGAGTAGTTACATTTAGTGTGTCCTGAATCAGTTCTCTCCAAAACTGCTTATTTCTCCATATGCTGAACTTCTCTCCGCTTCGACTGTTCACTGTTTTCTGTTGCCTCAGGTTTCGTGCTTGCTAAATACCATTCATATGTCTGACTGGCTTATACCTTAAATTATACCTTCTTCGTTTTGTTTAATAATCAGCTGTATTCTTCCTTTTCGCTCTCTGCTGCTACGCCACTTAAGATGGTATCAACTACCCTGGCCTGTAAGTCCATACCAAACTGAACTAGGTCTGTCGTCATACGCACTCAAGTCTTTGTTTTCTATACATTCAAAGTAGTCCATACAATCCCAAAGAAAGCATCTGTAGGCACCGTGACAATCAGCCGACATTTACACACGATGCCAGCAGGTTTGTCCATGATAAATATAGCTACTGAAGTACCAGATATACTATGATGACAGTTTGCCGCTACAGTCAATTTGGGATGATATTTTCGGATTGTATGAACCGACAGAAATTTACATCGAATTTTTAGAACCTCTGCCGCCCAGTTCACGCCCGATTAAATGTGTAAGTCAAGGAAAAACGAAGTGGTTAGATTCAAAAGGAAGTATACCACTAGTCAGCTAGACAAACAGTACAATTCTACTGTTCCACTCTTTTAAGTTATGATATGACCTTAATTACTGCTTGGTTCAGATCGGACATGCTAAATGTCCAGATTTAAATTAATCGGGAGGCTTTCCGTTAGAATACAAAACCAACGTGGGTTTGGCTTGAAAACAGCTGCTGAAAACATGTTGAGTCTGCCTTTTCGCTAGAATATCGCGAGTGAACTGATAACCGCGAAACTAGCTGGTGGAAAAGTTGACCTAACTGCATGGTAGAAATAGTATTATCATTCAACTAGTCTACCGTTCGTGAGATACGCTCATTTGCTCAACCATTTGGTTATCCGAACGATTCGGGCAGCTGTTCATACGTCTGATATCTTCATCGTGTGAAATCACATCCCTATGCACCTCATAACTTTGTCATTTGAAACTCCCGCGAAATCACATTAGGTCGTCCTGGGATTATTCCGGGAACTTCCTGGGATCTATTTATTTAGTATTCAAATCAATTTATTCAATTAACGTGTCCCGTTAGTAATCCTGTTGTCTCTCACAATGAAGGTGAGGGGTCCCAAGACAGGAAAACCCGGAACACTGTAAGTCCCTTTGTTGAGCCCGAGCTATTCGCTCTACGCAAGCAAGTACGCATCGATTTATGATTGACCCCGTTTGCCACTTCCAGTTGGGTTGGTGTGCGCGCGTGTGTCTGTATGTGTGACCATGTGTATCAATTTCGCCAAGACCAATACGTCAATCTTATCGTAATCAAAGTATACTCAGAGCTCCCTGATATAAACGGGCTACATGACCGACGATTTTCGACGAGCCTTTGTGGTCATAAAGGATGCGGCAGCGTAAGAAGTCCTGTGACTCGAGTAGATCACATAGTGTCTTCTCTCATACGTGAATCAACAAGCAAAGTCGTTATAAAGGTCTGTCTGACGAAGCTGAAGAAGAGCATTTCGGCGTTGCACCCAACTCTGCAATAAAAAATTATGGATGATTCCATCTACTTGACTTCTCCTAGCTGAATTGTGCCATTTTCTATGTAACCTCTTGTAAAGGGATATAATTAGCACAACGTTCCAGTATGTTCTGTTTTTATTCCAAATTTGAACGTATACTTGAGCATTTTCTACTCACTCACCTATGGTGAATGCTTAGCTTAACGAACGAGTCGAAGGCTGAATACCAGCAGGACACGGAATTCTACTTCCACTCCACTGAATTAGTCCACTAAGAAATCCAAGGGGGACCCAACTGGAACGCATGTTGTTGGATTAAGTATCGAAAACTTCGACATACCGTCTGAAAATAAGTTAACTTTTCCTGAAACCAGCAATATGGCAATGTGTTGTACATAGTCTACTCATTTTAAAGGAACGGAACGTTTACTGTTTCTATTCGAGCAGCATATGTCTATACTTCAGTGCGTTTGAAGGTTGAGGTTAGCTCACGTGTAATTCTTGGTGATGATAGTCTGCTGCTTAAGCATAATCTGTTTGTTGATACAGACAGTATTTTCTAAGTTATAAATAAGTATCTCGAGGGCCTTTTTCCGGGAGGCGTTTGCCTTAGAACACATTTTAAGCGTCCTCATCACTGATTTTGCATGGACCGCAATTTAGTCAGATCCTCACAGCCGTTTCGTGCCTGTCGGGCGAATTGGGATTATGTAGCCACACACAAAAATAAGGAAATTTCACCTGCAACTGTGACAGGTCAAACGATGCTTGAAAGTGGTAAACAACATGAATGGTCGACAAACCCGATCGATACACCAGTTTGCATGTTTTAGTTTGCCCCATCCATTTCAGGTGTCGGGACACATTTTAATACTGACATGCGACCGTTGTCGGACCGTTGGCTGTGACAGTCAAGTAGAAGCCCGGAGCATATTTGCTTGTCGGTCGGTTGAGGCGATTTTCTACACACCTCTAGTTCACAGTAGGATTCAGGCAGCTAAGACTAACTGCAAAGACGATGCTTATCGGTGACCGCACCTGTCGGTCATTCGCAGTCGTCAATTTGCATTGAAACTGTCCATAGAGTGGAGTGTACCTGGAAAGGAACCGCAACGAACCGAATGCTAGGAGCACGAGTTCCAGGGGTTTGACTTGGTCTTTCAGGTCACTTAGCTGCAAAGGTGGTCGGACCTGGTCTTTCAAATTCATAATCCATGGTTGTTTGAAGCAGACTTTTTGAACAATGTGGGCTGGTAGCCACTCGTTCTCCTGCTTGACACGAAACGATACACGGCAGTAGATCAAGTCGAAGCCAGAACTTGACAGTGCAGCAGAACCTTGGCAAAGGATCCTGGCTTGCTGCAGGCACACAACGGTAAACCTAAAACGGGGGCACTATGCCTTAATTAAGTCTAAATGCTGTTGTTCTGTTGATAGTGTGAAGATATTTGGGAATTTTCAACCGAGATTTTGACCTGTTCTTGAAGCCAGTCTCTGTTGAAAAGCTGAGAAGCATTATACAGCTGTTTCATACTTACTTGAAACCATCAGTAGTGCGCATCTCACGAAAATCCAGGAAGTTTCAAACTCATCTCAAATCTCATCTCATTTTCAACAGCCTATGGGCAGCTCAGAGAAATCGTCCCTCAACCACATGACGTGGATAACGTTACTGACGGATTAGCTATGCTGTATCCTGTCTATGTGAGTTAATAACACACCTGAGCTGGGGCTCGTGGCCTAACGGTTGATTGTCCCAACTACTAGCCGGGGAGTCACGGCTTCGAATCTCTCTCGAGTTTCGTGAGATGCGTCATGTCACAGATGTGGATAATATTAATCTATATGGTGACTAAAACAACAGTGAATTGAATTGGTTCCTCGCCTGTTCGTACCATCGGAAGCCGAATGATTTCCTTAGATTTCTTCTCGGAACTTGGTTTTAAAGCCCGAATTACTGAGTAAACCGAACAGCTCAGTTCATCTATGTATAACGAAGGAGAGAATGTTTGGCAGCCCAGATGATTCAGTCGAATCGTCCACTAGGTCGGGTGGTTTTGTTGCTTTAATCTGAGTGATGTCATCATTATTTCGTCGTGAAGCGGACGGTCTCCTCTAAAGTTTATAAAGCTGCTTCAAAAGTATTTCTATGAAAGTTCTAACGGTGCAAGCAACTTTCGAGTGTTAGCTTGAGCAAGCAGAAGAACAACAGCAATAGCCATCCTGCTGGTCATAGGGGTTAGTGTGTTGACCACTGTTACGTTTTGCAGGAAAACTTTCGACCAATCCATCATCATCATCATCATCATCATCATCATCATCATCATCATCATCATCATCATCATCATCATCATCATCATCATCATCATCATCATCATCCTTGAAAGCCATTGTGACAACAGGTAAATCCCGATATGAGCGATTGCGTTACTCTGGATAGAGGATCACACACTTGTTTCTAATCTAGAAGAAACCTGGGGTTTGACCAGAATGCTAAATCGCAATCCGATGTTTCAACCATCGGGGTAACTAG